GTCGTTTGCACGATACAATAATCCTTCTTGCCAAGATCCAAGTCGATCCTCGTTCGATGAACGTTTATATATATATATATATGAATGAAAAATCGAATCGATAAGAATTCTGAAAGAATAATCTTTGTACGAAATTCTTTGTCTTCTTCCTTCGTCGTTAAATTTGAGATCGCTGGCTCGGACAGGTTTTGTCGAAGAAAGCGATACCGTTTTTAAAGCGTTAAATGTACGAGACGGATTGAAAAATAACTTTATCATAATAATTAATAATTTCATTGCCGCTGTTATCTGAGAAATTCAAATTTACGGAATCTTCTTTTTTCAGTACATCATCGTCGTAAATACTGAACTCAATGTCTGTTGCTAACGTAATTGTCGCCGATGAAATCCTCTTTTTCCTTATTTTATAAAAAAAAAAGAAAACTGGTAAAACTTGTCTCGATCTTAGCAAATGTAAACTTAAGTCGCCTAATAAAATCAAGATCTCTCGTTCCTGTAAAAGTGAAAAAAAGTGACGGTTCATAAAGTGCACGACCCAATAATAACATTTTCTGTCGGTGTTTCCACGAGTTTAGATTAGCCATCGAATTTTTGCGTGGGCGACGAGAATCGCCTTGAAATTTCCTTTTTGCTAATTTTCTCTTCGATCGATGTAAATTGTATTGCATTTGATCGAAGAATAGTCCTGTCCGAGATGGAGAATCGAACAAACTTGCACTCTAAATGAACGAAGAAGAAGAAGAAGAAGACTTTCGATAAGGAAGAAAGAAAGGAAGGAAGACGCACGAACACCTGAATAGAAACGAAATAACACGAGGGATATATTTTCACCATTGACCTCCATCGAGGATATTCTCGACGAATTCCTCGGATGGCGGGCAGATAAAATTGAATTATACGATTCTTGTATATAATAATAGCGCACGATCGAACAACGTAAAGTTGCATTAACCGTGCAATCACGATTGTACCGACCGAGAAATCGGCGGCATCGACGTTATTACCGATCGGGCGACTTTTCATTAAACCTTGCGAAATTATCCCCCCCCTCGTCGCGAAGTGCCAGTCCAGCCCAGTTCGCAAAAATGGGCGGGCAAATGGAAAACACGAGCGGAGAAGACAAGTTTCATCGGGAATTATCGGGGAGAGAACGAATTCTCATAAATCAATGGCAAATTAGAGGCGATCGCGATTATAAAAGATCATGCGTGCCTTTCGAGGAAAGGTTAAGGATCGATCCGCGTGCTTTCCCTCGATCGTTTCGATTTATCATCGATCCCAACCCATCGATACTTATTTGTTTATAGGGGGATTTTGTCTTTCGATTTTGTCGTCGTACGGGGATATAAATAAAATAACGTGGCCTCCATCAAGAAACAATTAATCTGGGAGGCAATTATTCGCTGGATCGAGGTTCGAACATTAATCAAACTACGAGAGGAAGCTACGAGAGATTTTTCCATCTGAATCGCGATTTCAAAACCAACTTGCTTTACTTTTCAACTGATCCAAACTATTGTTTAAACGACTATTGCTGCCCGACAACCGGGTCCAAAATTCGAAGATTATTTTCCAAACGTATTCTCTCCTCCTCCTCCTTCTTCTCCACCGATTGGTTGGCGATCTCGAGGGGGTTGCTCACGTGGGTAGCCGTGGATATAAATTGTTCTTCGGCATTTAATTGCGACAACGAGATTGATCGTCGCCAGGCCCGCCATCAATATATATCGCAGGATTTACGATACGATGATGATGATGATGATAAAGGAGGAACAAATGTTAACGCGAGGCCATTGAACGAGGCTCGCGCCGTTGAGTTAAGCGTTATATTTAAATGATTCGTGGAGGAGGACGAGCCAACACGCCCACGCGTGTTTTCCAGTTTCAGGGGGACGGTTGTTTCCTATTTTGTCGCGAAAAAAAATTGTAAATTGATCGAGTCGTCGTGTCAAATCGATGTTGATCTGCCCTGTTCGAGCTTGGTTGACGAGACAGATTCGAGGAATTCTTGGAGGATTGGAATACGATAGTAGAATGATCGAATTTGGCATTGTTTCGCTCTGAATCGCTTTGAATTCGTTGGTTCTGTCGAATCAGCTAATACCATTTGAATTGATTATAATTTTACTTAATATATATGAAAAAAATGAATTTGGAATTGCTTTCAGCTTGTGAATTCGTTGGTTGTATCAAATGGATGAATCAGCCAATACTTTTGGCTCGAATATTATTTGAATATTGTAATTTTATGTATAAAAGAAACGAATTTAGGATGGAATCAGTGTTTCGTTTTGAATTTTTAAATTCTGTCGAATCAGCTAATAATTTTGGCTCGTATATAATATTGTTTGAATACTATAATCTCACTTAATGCATGAAAGAAACGAATTTGAAATCGGATGGGTGTCTCACTCTGAATTGTTGAACTTGTAAAAGTTGAAAAAGAGCGCAAAGCGAATAATTTTGGCTTGTATATAATATTATTTCAATATTATATGTATATAAAAAAAAAAATTGGAAATGAACGGATGTTTCACTCTGAATTGCTTTCAGCAATTGTGAATTCGTTGGCTCTATCAAATGGATGAATCAGCTAAAAATTTTGGCTCGAATACTATAATTTTACTTAATATATTATATATATAAAAGAACGAATTTGAACGAATTGTTGAACTTGTGAATTCGTTGGTTGTATCAAATACTAATACTATAATCTTACTTAATATACGAAAGAAACGAATGGAACGGGTGTTTCACTCTGAAACTTGCTTTGAGCTTGTGAATTGGTTGGTCGTATCAAATGGATGAATCAGCTAATAGTTTTAGTTTTGACTTGAATACCGTTTGAGTGCTAAAAGAATTTGGAATTGAACTTTGGGTTTTGGTTTTGGTTTGATTCCAGTGAATCGAATTATTGTCGAATTATTTAAATGCTATATAAATGGTGTAAAAGAATTTGGAGCCACCTTGGTTTTCCAGAAGGAGGAAAAAAGAGGAAAAAACTATGGCAATCAATCGGCCGATAATTTCAGCGCAGGTGACAGGCGTCCCGACAGGAATTTTAATAACTTAAGCCTCTTCTTTCTCGCCATGGGCAGCCTATTATCGATCGAGGCAACGTTTCAATCTTCAATCCCTCTTCGACAACTCGATCTTCCACAGCGTCCTCGCCTTAATTTCAATTTGGACCCGAAGAGGGCGCGTTTTCCTTCCCAAAATGGCGTGAAAATTTATATTCGTTCCGACGCAACGATTCTCCACCACTGTGAGATTCTTCAAGTGTGCTCCCGAAATGAAAGTTATTTACTTTTTTTTTCTTTTTTTACCCTCCTTTCATCAATCGACGCTAGATTCGGTCCAAATATTTGTTCGATCGTTTGACGAGTGTTAATGTTTTACAGGAGGTGGTGATTTATTTTTCCAAATTTCTTCTACAACGCGTATAAAATTAGCCCCTACCGAGAATGCTAATATTACGAAATATATTATATAAGTCGATAAACCGATAATAAAATTCTTTTAATCTATCTTATCGTTTTAGCCGAGTTTCTAAATTAAATCAAAAAAAAGTGTAAGGTTGTTGAGAACCACTGGTCTTTATCGTATAGGGATTTCGAAAAAACTCGAAGAAAGGATTTCTTTTCCTTTTGAAAACGGATAGAAGAGAGAAGTGTTGCAACTCGGCACGAGTATTTTTAAGTAGAATCTTACGGTCTTACCGTGCATATGGTGGGCGTTTGTCCGTGAATTTTGCTGCTATCGAGAAATTCCGGGCCCTTGGACGCCTCCGATTGCAAGTGAGTGGTGGTCCTGGAGCACAGAGGGGACGAAGCGGGGACGTTGCTCGCGTTCGAAACGTGGCTGGTGGGCAATGGAGTGCCGAGAGGGAAATCCGGCCTGTAGAACCACGTTGGCCACTGGAAATTAATAAAATTATTTCAAAAAAAGGTTCCTTCGAACCTCCAATTTTATAGAAAAGTTTTTTCTTCGCCAAACCTCGAATCTTCAACACTTCTTATCTTACACTTTAACCGTGTTTCGATCGTCTCGTGTGACAAAAAGAAAAAGAGAAGATTTACGTTGATTTACTTTCGACTCGAAATCCGCGCCAGAAAAGAGAGAGAAAAAAAAGGACATAACTCAAACAATCTCCCCGAGTATCGCTTTATCGCCAGAGATAAACCGCCAGAAGAGAGAAAAAAAGAAAAAGACGTCTTCGATAAATTTTCAAAAAATAATTTCCCTCATCATCGAGATAAACCCCCCCCCCCTATCGTTCGAGAAGGGAAAAAAATCCGAACAAAAGAGTCAAACTTGCTTATACAACCAAATATCGTTTGCCTGTCGTCGACCGCGAACGAACGAACGAACGAACGAACGAAAGAAAGAAAGAAGGAGGAGGAAGAAAATACGCGTCGTGGAGATAAAGCGGAGAAAGCAGGCATTAGTGTCACCGAGTGAATATGAACCTCCCCAAGATAGATGACACACGCCCCTGACCCTGTGAGAAGGGGGGGTCACGAGGAATGCGTGTGGTCCATTGTACGTATATCTGTTATATAAAGGGGAGGGTCGGAGGGGAGGGAGGAAAGGATGGAAAGGATGAAAAGGAAGCAACGCGGTGTGTTCCGTTCACCGTGGTACGTAAAGACCTTTTGATCGTCGCTGCTCGACGACGACGACGCACAAATTCCACGACGCGGTTTTTATTTAAGCCACTCGAGAAAATGGCCGAATCGTTTGATCGGGACGAGATATACAACGAGATACCGTGCCGGCCACGATACGCCTTTTGTCCAGGATATTTGCTGCCTTAAGGGAGGGGCAAGGGTCGTGGTTTATCGTTGGAATCCTCGTGGAATCCCGATTTCGCGAATATTGATCGCGTTCCTCGCCGAAATTTTCTCAAATTTTCTCCTCGATTTACAAAATTTCGAAGTATTATTTAAAATCAAGACAAACATTTTCTCAATGATTTTTGCTGGCTTGGAGAGAAAGACTTATCCTCGTAGCCTCGTAGCTAGGGGATTTTTAGTGCCCTTGGACGCCTCCGATTGCAAGTGAGTGGTGGTCCTGGAGCACAGAGGGGACGAAGCGGGGACGTTGCTCGCGTTCGAAACGTGGCTGGTGGGCAATGGAGTGCCGAGAGGGAAATCCGGCCTGTAGAACCACGTTGGCCACTGGAAATTAATAAAATTATTTCAAAAAAAGGTTCCTTCGAACCTCCAAATTTTATAGAAAAGTTTTTTCTTCGCCAAACCTCGAATCTTCAACACTTCTTATCTTACACTTTAACCGTGTTTCGATCGTCTCGTGTGACAAAAAGAAAAAGAGAAGATTTACGTTGATTTACTTTCGACTCGAAATCCGCGCCAGAAAAGAGAGAGAAAAAAAAGGACATAACTCAAACAATCTCCCCGAGTATCGCTTTATCGCCAGAGATAAACCGCCAGAAGAGAGAAAAAAAGAAAAAGACGTCTTCGATAAATTTTCAAAAAATAATTTCCCTCATCATCGAGATAAACCCCCCCCCCCTATCGTTCGAGAAGGGAAAAAAATCCGAACAAAAGAGTCAAACTTGCTTATACAACCAAATATCGTTTGCCTGTCGTCGACCGCGAACGAACGAACGAACGAACGAACGAAAGAAAGAAAGAAGGAGGAGGAAGAAAATACGCGTCGTGGAGATAAAGCGGAGAAAGCAGGCATTAGTGTCACCGAGTGAATATGAACCTCCCCAAGATAGATGACACACGCCCCTGACCCTGTGAGAAGGGGGGGTCACGAGGAATGCGTGTGGTCCATTGTACGTATATCTGTTATATAAAGGGGAGGGTCGGAGGGGAGGGAGGAAAGGATGGAAAGGATGAAAAGGAAGCAACGCGGTGTGTTCCGTTCACCGTGGTACGTAAAGACCTTTTGATCGTCGCTGCTCGACGACGACGACGCACAAATTCCACGACGCGGTTTTTATTTAAGCCACTCGAGAAAATGGCCGAATCGTTTGATCGGGACGAGATATACAACGAGATACCGTGCCGGCCACGATACGCCTTTTGTCCAGGATATTTGCTGCCTTAAGGGAGGGGCAAGGGTCGTGGTTTATCGTTGGAATCCTCGTGGAATCCCGATTTCGCGAATATTGATCGCGTTCCTCGCCGAAATTTTCTCAAATTTTCTCCTCGATTTACAAAATTTCGAAGTATTATTTAAAATCAAGACAAACATTTTCTCAATGATTTTTGCTGGCTTGGAGAGAAAGACTTATCCTCGTAGCCTCGTAGCTAGGGGATTTTTAGTGTAAATTTTGCGAATATTGGTCACGTTCTTTCTTACTCGACAGAAAATTTCAAAGCCAGAGTTTCGAATCAATTCCAAAAGTTGCTGGCTTGGAGAGAAGACTTATCTTTTCTCGTAGCTAGGGAATTTTTAGTTTAAATTTTGCGAATATTGGTCACATTCATTCTTACTCGAGAGAAAATTTCAAAGCCAGAGTTTCGAATCAATTCCAAAAGTTGCTGGCTTGGAGGGAAAGGCTTATCTTTTCTCGTAGCTAGGGAATTTTTAGTTTAAATTTTGCGAATATTGGTCACGTTCTTTCTTACTCGACAGAAAATGTCAAGAGCTTCGAATCGATATTCCATCGTAACGAGTCACAAACGCGACAAACATTCGAAACGCGAGGATGAATGCAGGATCATGCTCGATTGAAACACCACCACACCTGAAAGAACTCTGTTGATATGATCGAGCGCTCGACATCCAGTCGACTTAAAAACGTGCTCGGATCCAGGCCGCGAGGATGTTACGTCACCACGGCGCGATAACACGTCGGGGCGGGTTTCGGCTATTTCGAAGCGCGAGGATGGAGAGGGGAGGACGATCACGGACACGAGGAGGGGGGGGGGGGGAGGATGGAATGGTTTTGGACGGCGGTGGTCTGGCGAATGTCTCTTGTCGCTGGCTTCGCGGGAGTTAACGGCAAAACCGAAATAACAAACTACTAAAGTCGGTTGAGTTAACGCTACTTCGCCACCGAGGTTTCCACGCCTCTGTTATTTTCTGTTTACCACCGGCCATTCTGTAAGCATCGTTTACAGCGGTAACGGAAATCGGCCGACCTTGCTCGAACGACGCTTTCCGGTGTGACGCGCTCCCGTTCTCACTCCGTTTCCTTGAGCGGAACCAGATCGTGCGCGCGATTCCACTTGCGATTTTCTTTTTCCTTTTTCCTTTTTTTTTTTCTAGTTAAACTGGTCTGGAATTCAATTGTTAATAAATTCGGATTAATAAGAGTCTCGAAGAAATGCGAAAATTACACAAAATGCGGGAGCATTTCTTAGTTAATCGAATCGAAAGTGAAATTAAATTAAGTATGGGAATTTAACGTGGTTTAGAAAGGACGCTTGTACATTTAAAAAAGAAAAATTGGGATTAATAAGAGTCTCGAGGAAAGGAAGAAATGTCGCATCGTGTTATGTGATACGCAAAATTAGAGACTGAGACGTGTAAAGGACATCTTTACATTTAAAAAAATTTTTTTTTAATACGAAGAAGAATAGAATATTTTTTCTTCGTCTCAAGGAAAGGAAGAAACACCGCATCTTCTTGCGTGACGCACAAAGAATTAGAAATTGAGAGGAATTGTAAAGGACAGCATTTTTTTTTTTTTTTTAACATACGAAGGAGAATAGAATAGAATTTTTCTTCCAGTTAGAGAATTCTGGAATTCAATTTTTAAAAAATTGGGATTAATAAGAGTCTCGAGGAAAGGAAGAAATGCCGCATCGTCTTATGTGATGTACAAAATGCGAGAGCATTTCTCGAATAAAATGAAATTAAATTAATCGTGGTTTAGAGAGGACACATTTAAAAAAAAGATTGGGATTTTTTTCATTTAGCTTTTCACGCGAGAATATAATTTCAAAAAAATTGGAATTAATAAAATCGCCAAAGTAAAATGAAATTAAAAGAATCGTAATCGTAGCGTGGTCCATAAATCGCGACACTTGTTGTGCGCTTGTTTTTTTTCTTTCTTTTTTTTTTTTTCTTGAAGAAAGAAAAGGAAAAAGAGAGAATCCTCGGCTACGAGAGTTAAGTTTATTCGGGGCACGGAGAAAGAATCACGTGTGCACTATTTTCGGTCGTTCGTAGATCACGATTATGATGCACGTCGCAGAGGGGGCGCTGATTAATCGGAAGGTAAATATTTTTCCAGATCCCGATAAGTTGCACGCGTCTACTTTGGCTGTGATTCGGCTGACTCGGCCTGCCTGGAATCTGAAAAATTCCGCTCCTCCCCGGACGAAAATAGGCCGCTGTTACACGTGGCTTCGGGCACGATGCATCTTTCACTCTCCTCCCGTTGTGCGTTAACAACGTGTTAAAGACGGCCGATCGTTCGAATGCACGATAAAAAAAAAGAAAAGAAAAAAAGCAAAGTCGTATCGTGATGTCATTGTTGTCGGATAAAGTTAGAAGCGAGCTATGGAGAACGATTTAACGACGTCTTTATTGCCCGGTGATAAAATTCACGCGATGCATAATAGATTGGCTGTGTTGTTCGTTTAAATCGAGTCTCCTTCGTGGAAATTTTCACCGACACAAGTGCCCTCTCGTGCCTCTTTTTCCAACTTAAAAAGGGAGGATTAATTCGGAAATTGACAAATTATCTGTTCGAAAAGTAAGTGCATCCTCGTGCAACTTTGATACCGGTTTTTTATAATCCGCGAATAAGAAAAGGATGCTTCGAATCCTTGCACAAATTTTTCAAAGGGGATCCGGCACGAATCAATTTGGCCGCGCGATCGATAACCGTGCGGCAACGCAACGTGCGATCTGTCCTGCCGTGTAATTATGCCGTGGGCCAGTTTAATGGTTCTTAAGCGACGAATATCGATCACGCAGGGGATAAATCATCGAACAATTTGACCCGTTCAATATCCCGTTTTTAAATCGAGAGAACGCTTACGCGTTCAAGTATTCCAAGTATTCGTGCGAGAGAAACTTGCTCTTTCTCGATCTGATTGTACTTGTATTAGCGTTTAAGAAAGTTTATCAGAATTTTATTGGTGAATTGGATGAGAAGCGATTCGAGTTTTAAGAAGGTTGCAGATCAAGAATCCCTAGAATGCAATTATATTATACATAATGTAAATACCACTATACTATATTATACTATAAAATTTTTAAAACGTTAAAATGTAAAATATTTTGCACGTTAATTCGTGCGTGAAATCGAATTAAAGATCGAAGATTTTTTTCGAACGAACAAAGAAGCATCGAACGATTCATTAAAAGTAATTGACAAATTATGGAGCAGCGTGGAGGTGAAAATATCTCGACAACGTGAATCGATAAAAGTTTGATGAAAAATCGAATTTAATCGTAAGATCAGGAGTGAATTTGGAAGAAATAATCGAGACGTGTTTTTAATTAATAACGCGATAATTGATTTTCCTCGTTGAAACGTTCAAGGAACAGAACGCTCGCAGTGCATACGTTAACAAAGTATTCCTCGGAGCGAAGAGGTTGCACGCTTAATCACCGAGGTCGTTAAAACCGCAGATGGTTAAATAAGAAGTTGATGCCTATCTGAAATTCTAATAAAGCGATCACTTCTTTCCCTTCTCATCCCCGTTCGAGACAATGCGAAATTGAAATACAAATTGCTCGTAAATCTGTAGAACTGATTAACATTCGTGGAATAAAAAAAAAAATAAATGAATAAGATCTTTCGATACCTCGAACGTAATTTAATAATTATGATACACACCACGATCGATGATTATTGATCGTGAAAAACGGCTTCTTCGTTTTCGAGGAAAGAAAGGAAAATTCGTTCAATCGTAAACCACGTTGCGTCCTCGAGTGAAAATCACACCCATTTCCTCTTCTAGGACCAACAGCGCCGACTAATTGCGAGCTTTATCGAACATTACGCGCCTTCCAACGACGATCCTCCAGCCAACAATTTTCGACAACGCGCGAATCTCTTCTCGAGCGAGAAGATCGTGATCGATCTTACGGATCGATAATGTCGTCGATCATGCGCGAGATGTCTTTTCGTTTGTGATTTCGTGAAGGAGAGAGAGAGAGAGAGAGGCACGTTTTGACCGAGTCATTTGAGAAACTTTTACGAGATATAGTCGCCATCTTACGACATTTTACATTACTAAAT